CGTCTATTGAGAAAGCTTATGTGGTTGTAACTTACAGTGTGTAAATATGTCAATAATTTGAGTTTTCTCCGAAAAACACTCAACAAATTCATACTCCTCGTAATCTTGACATGAAGCGGTGTCAGATCCTATAGCAAACTATTGCGCATGCATAAACAGCTGAAACGCCGGCATATTCTTCTTAGTGCTCGAGAAACGGAGAAAGAATCCTCTCTAGGTCAACGCGCGTGAAAAACCATGGTAACGGTTGATTGGCGTCCACCAAAACGCAGGTTTGAACCGAAGAAAAAACCCTTTGAGGGCGCGTGTTAGTGATAGCCGCTGTAACGAAGCATAGTACACTAGCATCCTGACATTGTCTAATACCAGAAACATAACACGGATTCGAAGGATTGCCGATCTCATTCAGATTAGCCGCCATCTTAATATGGTCACTGAAGTTCAGATTGCAGTCGATTGACACGCGTAATAGAGGTAGCTTGTCCGTAAGCTCTATCTCATTTCCTTGAATATTCAAACTCGCACTTGTTGTTAGTTTATCGTCGTTATGCATTAGCATGGTCTTGTATTTGGAAACGTTTCCTTTAAGTAGGTTGCCTTCGTACCATCTGGATGCCTTTTCTGCATTACCAGCAAGTGATGACTTGACTTTCGCAAGATCCTCTCCCATTTCGTGTAGCTGGTGGTCGTCTGCCTACGTGGAGAAATCCGATTTAATTTCGTAAGTGAGGTCATTTTCGAAGATGTTCCATAGAAGGGGACCTAGGGCAGATCCCTTTGGGCATCACCTGTTCACAGTATGCCAGTTAATTGTTACGGAAGAAGGTTGACTCTGTTCTGACGATCAGTTAAGTAGAAGCTTAGTAGATTCAATGTATTTTCTTCAAAACCACATGCTTGCAGATTGCTTCGCATGAGAGGTGGGTGGAGAGAGTCAGACCTTTAGACATATGTGTAGATAAGACAGCGGCGGATTGGCGTTTCTCTCTAGCTAGCTTCCAGTGCTCTACTAGGGCGATGAGAGTGGTTTCACAGCTGTGGGATTTACGGTAGGCGGTTAGGTATTGCTCCACGTAGTTGTCAAATTTTGTTGTAATCTGTTTACTAATCAACTGTTCCATTACTGTATCCTCGGCAGAAAGGATTGAAATTGGCGGCCTGTAGTAGTTCTCTCTGTCTAGCGAATCGTCTTTGGGTGACCATACTTACTTCTTTCTTCCATTCACACGGCCATTTTCCGTTAGAGACGCACGATTTGTAGAGCTTTCTTATCGGCGCAGCTAATTCTCATGCTCCAGGTTCAAGTGTCTTGGCTGGGACTGAGTCGTGCCCTGTGGCCTTGTTGGTCTTGAGTGGTTCGTGTACGCATTGAACTGGAGTCTCTTTAGTTAGTTCAAGAGCAATTGTTGGCTCTTCATGACATTTTTACTGTGTGAAACTTCATTTATAAGTCAAAAACCATGTGTAACCTTAAATTTCTCTAAAGCTTTAGAGGTAAAATAACATGTCTATTCTTTACTATATTTAGGACAGCAAAACTCTAAATCTTAGAAACAAACTGTTCAACATGCAAATGGACAGCGTGAAGACGTCATATTTGAAAGAACTTATCCAGCTCGGTGATTTCTTGTCTGTGTTCCTGCTTACAAGATCTGGATTGTCATATTTAACCAGCGAAATATTCGGTGGAATCATTCTGTTTGCTTTCGGAAGTGAATATTTGCAGCTGATGGAAGAGAAGACGAAAAACCTGCGGGACAAGTTCGGTTGCCTTGGAAATGTTACATGGAGGATGGTCAACAACGAAAACCTGGAAACCACTAGTTCCCACTCCTTACATGTCTCGAGTTTAAAGCTTCAGATGTACAAAATTGTGGATTTGTTCATTCCTATTTATTTGTCTTCGTATTTATCAATTATTTATTTATTTATTCATTTATTTCGAAGTAATCAGAGGATTCTTAATTTTAAAAAGTAGTTTAAGAAACCCCCCTTTCTCTTATATTACGAGTAAAATTCTGTTTTCCATGCTTTCAGTTTGGACGTTTTCGTTTTCAAACAAAAAGGAATTGGTGTGGCTGCCTCTTTAGGAAGCAACGTTGGGATTTATAATCCAAATAAGGACCCACCAAAGAAGACGGGTACACGTAGAGCTACTATAGATATTTTTAATATAAAAAGTATTTCTTCCTGTGCTAACGATGATAATTAGTATACAAGGATGGACATGTAATGAGGCATTTTTTCAAGTTTTAATGCAGAATGCCTGCAAAAATCGCTATTGAAAGTTATTATGATTCAGCTGTGCCCCTTGACAAAATTTATTTGTTTAATATCTTCTTCACAATTCTACAGTTTATCACTTTACATGTGTGAAGGCACTAAGTAATGACATACGGCACAGAATTGAAATTAAAACAGCAAAATCCTGGTGACATAGCTCCTTTAGAGCTTCACAAAGATAGTCTAAGAAGACTGGGAATTTTACTTACAGTTATACTTTTAGAAATAGTACAACTCTGTTTGTTATACTTCATCTAAGTTCTTGTGACACGTACGTGTAAGGGCTTTTTAGAATCAGCGTTAACATAATATAAAGGCATGATACTCATTAGAATACTAATTTCTATGAATCCAAATTAAGCATGGCCGCATCCGCAAACAGGTCATTTAAGTGTTACAGACCACGCTTGCATCCTCGTAATGCTTACAGTAGCTGTCTCTTCCCCAGCCAGAATGTGTGCAGTGAAACAATGAAGCCTCTGTTCCACTGCACTGGACGTCATCCATCCAGATAGTGCCAGATCCTTGGCCATATCTCGCGCAGCATGGTGCCGAGGACGCACTGGGGAAACCAAGCTGACGGCAAACTACATGAGCGTCATTGATATCCCAGTGATCATCACAGACTGTGCCCCATCGGCCGTTGTGATAAACTTCAACTCGGCCATAATTAACACCGCCATTCGCCAAAAAAATGTTAGCAGAACCATAAGAACACTGCAGACTGGCATCTCTGCTGTGTGTACAGTCATTGTTTCCCCATCCACGGTGTCTGCAATCGTAGATATGTGATTCGCTACCTGAGCAGGCCACGTCATCTATCCATATGGGACCAGAGCCCTGACCGTAATAGGCGCCGCTCCAAGCGTGAGTGGCTAACTGCGAGAAACCAAGCTGTCTGCAGACCACGTTAGCGTCATTCATGTCCCAAGCGTCATCGCAAACTGTTCCCCACTGACCATCATAGAACACTTCGACTCTTCCAGCAGATAAGGTGCCATCTTTGAGACGAACTGAACCTGAGGTCAAAGCTAGCGTTCAAATAAAAGGTAAAGTGGGTTTATTATTAGACACCATATTTTGTTATAATGTACACTTTCTAAAAGTCCGTTCTGGTGGGTCAAATTTGTCGCTCGGGTCGACACGAACATAGCAAGATTTGCAATCAGTTGACAGGAAAAGGACCAAAAAGCGTCTGATAAGGCCGAATATCATACTAAAGAAGGAGAAGGAGAGGAAAAACTCAAGGGTTTAAGGTCTGGGTCAAAGATGTTTTCGATTGATTGACAATATCTCTCGCTAGGATACCTAGAACAAAATGAATTTTTTCCCAAACCTAAATCTTGAGGTCTTCTTGTGCCATAAAATAATGGTCACGTGACATGTTACACCACCAGAAATTGAACATGAAGGAGATTGGCGGATTGGTGGCGAGTTTACTTTGTTTGGATAAATGAATTGGCGTTTCTGACAGAGGGTAAACATACCTTACTTTCTACGTTTGGATTGAACGTACGCAAAGTTTAAAATTAAAGTTTTAAGAATTAAAGATTAATTTTGGGCTTTTAAAATATAGAGGATATTACATGGCCGCGAGGAGATACGAAATTTCTCTTCGTGGGTAGAAATATATTTAACGAGTGAGCACAGCGAACGAGTGAAATATTTTTCAACATGAGTAGGGAAATTTTGTATCTCCAAGTGGTCATGTAATGTTCTTTTTATTACATAAAAACCAAAGTGATGCCGTCATGGCATTTCTCTAAAATATTTTTTTGCTGCTAAAGGCGCGATATATTATGTAGCCGTAGAAACAATGATCTTTTCACTTGTGAAAATAAGACGCTATTTTAGCGAATGAAGATATCATGTTTTTGCGCGAAAGCTCACCTGGGGTCAATTTAATAAAACTTTTACACGTGTAATTTACAAGTGTGGCTATTGTTCTCAGACTATAAAATAATACACTTGCAAATTATACGTGTAAAAGTTTTATTAATTAACCCCTGTACTTCATTGGTGTTTATATAATAAGAAGTATTCCCTCATATTTTTTTTTTTTTTTATGGACAGTCATTCCAAACGTGAAGAGAGAGGATAATTATATGTTGGCATACCCACCCGTATCAATAAATTTCAAAATGTATGTCCAAAGTAGCTTTATTTACCCACTTTCTTCCTTTCAGTCCTTAACATAAATTACTATTAGCATACATATTCATACTACCTGCTTATTTACTGCTAAATTTACTAAACAGTCTTTCCACTACCCGCCTAGATTAGCTCTAGCTATTTTGCGGGCTAGTGTTGGTGTCTGTATCCTTGAATACTTTGCAAAATCTCTCAATAAAGTTTGACTTTGAGTGTTAGAAATATTTAATACGAATGAGAAAAATGTTATTGCTTGATTTCTTTCCTTAAACTCGTTACTAGTTTGTCAATTATTTAAGAGTTTTAGCCGAAAAAATGGTCACGTGACATACCACTTGACTTAATAACACAATAATTATACTTTATGTTAAGCACGATGAGGTTTTTTTGAATGTGTGCCAATTTTGATTCCCCTCCATCCTCTGTGCCGAAGTCACAGCCAATATATCATTTTCAAAACGTAAGCCAATTAGACCCAGGCTTTACTTGAGAATAGCAAGAACGAGGAGAAAGAAAGGAGGAGAAGAGGAAAAAGCACCTAGCTTTTATATTGGCTACTTTGGAGATAGTTTTTTGGCTAACGTTTTCAAAACTCCAGGTAGATATACAGTCAAAGTCTAATAATTTCGCACACAAGGTTGAACCGAAACTAAATGTTGTTAGACTATTGTCACTTTTTCATGTTTAAGCCTGAGAAGGTCTTATCATGCTAACCAGGAAGCCCATGTCTACGAATGAAAATACCTCGGTAACGCGCGATAAATCCGCTATACTCCGAAGAGCCATCAGATGTAAACCTCACATATAGCTTGGTGGACGAACTTGTGATAGACGCCGGGAGGGAGCTTCCACTAAATCTGCCAATCAGAGGTGCGGAGGTCGAGTCACCATCGTACACACTTACATAGTCTGCCGACGATTGGGTCGTGAAATAGTAGAACAAAAGTTCAATCACTGTATTCGAAGTTAGATTCCATCGGCAATCCATATTACTACCGTATGCCGAGCTACGAGTTGAGTAAATCGTACCACTTGGTTTGCTGGCGTCACGCATAAGAAGATTAGAGCAGGAGCTTGTCGCCGTCATTGTAGGAACTGTCACAAAAGTGTAAGGCAAAAGCAAATTTGATTTTAAATCACATTTACTTCACGTTCAACTTTGCTTTTACGTGACCCGGATAACCACAGGCAGCCCAAGTTCAGATAGCCTGCTTCTAGCGATCACTTTCAAACGCCTGCTACGCAGGCTAAAACTCTAATACGTCTGGTATCATATTGGTTAATCCCCAAAATAGCCATAAACATGAAGAGTTTGTATGGGAATACGGTAATAGATTCAAGAAAATAAACAATAGCTGGAATTTTCAATAAAAGACACTTTACTTTATTTACTTGGTTTGTTCTTGCTTGTTGTATGAGGGGAGCAGTCCTCTTTTTAGTAGTCGGAAAACTCGGGTAAAGGAAATCGCTTAAATCGAAGCGGATCGGAAAAATAACCACACAGAAAGCAAAAACAAACCAAGTAAACAAGTTAGACGGTTTTTTATTGGAAATTCCAGCAAATATTTAGACTCTTGAGTTTCATTACCTGGACTCGAATACAGATCCTTCATGTTAACAGTCATTTAAGTCTGCACAAAATGATACCGCGTATTAATTATTAAACTCTCATTATGAGCTTCGGCTGCCTGTGGGATGAGATGTAGAAATGAAAATGGTTTTCTTGTCTCCTCTGGAGAAACCATTTGTGTTAGGGACTGGTTAAATATTACTGGAAAGCCTAGCCTACCAGCCGGAGAGAAAAGAAAATGAACAAGCACACGCATATTAAATGAGATGAAAGTAGTGCAGGCCTACCAACTCCCTTTTTCACTAACACAAAACAAAAGTAAACAAATATGCAAAAAATTAAAAATAAAATGTTCTCCGTTTTTGTTTATATAGTGATTACTCTGCGAGCAGAGGTTTCTCTATTGATGATGATGATGATGATAATGAATTTGTATAGCGCTAAAACTATAGAAGAATATTCAAAAGCGCTTTACATTAAGTTAAAATTAATGAATAAATAATAAATAAAAAATTTTAAAATTCCTGAAAGCTATAATAATAACAATGATATGCTATGCTATTGTAAAATCTAAAAACTTCAAACTAAATTAAAATTAAACATTAGAACTATTCCAACAAATTAAAAGCTTTCTTAAAAATAAATGTTTTAAGTTGCTTTTTAAAAATGGCGAGGCTGCTACTTGTTCTTATAGTCAATGGCAGCGAGTTCCATAAAACAGGTGCAGAATGAGCAAAGGCCCGATCCCCAAGTGTAGAGCAGCTGACTTTTGGAACGAACAGAAGAGATTGCGCAGACGAACGAAAAGCATAATTAGCAGCTGGTTTCAGGGATAAAAGATCTTTAATGTAGGATGGACTTTGGTTGTGTAGAGACTTGTAAACAAAAAGGAGCAATTTGAACTGAACTCTAAACGTTGCTGGAAGCCAATGTAGGTCGATAAGAGCGAGTGTGATATGATCAAATTTCGCAATCTGAAAAGTCACCCAAGCCGCGACATTCTGGACTTTCTGTAAACGATCAAGCTGATATTTGGGTACACCAAATAGAAGTGCGTTACAGTAATCAAGGTGCGAAGATACAAAGGCATGGATCAGTGTCTTTGTGGATTGCACGGTGAGGAATTTTCTGATCTGTCTTATGTTGTATAGTCCGCGAAAAGCCTTGCTACAAATCTTGCCTATGTGAACATGCATTTGCATTTGAGCATCGAACCAGGACCCAAGGTTCCGGACGCTTTCTAAAGGTTTAATGACAGTGTCACCAATTATAACAGATTCAATAGATGTTTTTTCAAGTTGTTGACGGGTGCCAATAATTAGAAAGTCAGTTTTCGCGTCATTGATCAAAAAACGATTTCCAATAAACCAAGAGCGAACATCAGCGATGCACTTTTCAATCACAGAGACAGCGTTAATTTCCGAATGGATGGAACAAGGTCGGAAGGAGAGGTAAATCTGGGTGTCGTCAGCATAACCGTGGACAGAAGGGAGGTGCCGAGAAATAATGTTAAAGAGGCGAGAGACGTAGAGAGTAAATACAGTAGGCCCCATACAACTGCCCTGGGGGACTCCACAGTTCAGATTGAAGTCGTCAGAAGTCTTATCACCGACAAGTATACGTTGTTTGCGACCAGACAGAAATGAGTCGAACGAACTTAAAGCAGTTCCGACGACTCCAATTTCCTGTTGCAAGATATTCAGAAGAATGGAATGTTCAATGGTATCAAAAGCAGCACTTAGGTCCAAAAGTACGAGAAGTGTCACTTCCTTATTATCCATACTCATTAAGATGTCGTTTTGAACCTTTAATAGAGCAGTCTCTGTCGAGTGATACTTACGGAAGCCGGACTGGAATTTAGGAAGAGGGGCATTTTTCTCATAGTGGACGAGAAGTTGTTGAAGTGCAGCCTTTTCCACTACCTTGGAAATGAATGGAAGATTACTGACTGGACGGAAATTTTTGTAGACCAAATCAAGTCCAGGTTTTCTCATTAGAGGGATGACAACAGCGGTTCTCCAATTTTCTGGAACGCAACCACTGAGAAGAGAAAGATTAACCATCTCAGTGATAGAGGGCGCTAATACATCAAGACAGGACTTCACTAGCCATGTAGGAACAGGATCCAACCGACAAGAGGCATTGGAGGATTCTCTAACAATCTTACACACTTCTTCCATGGATAGCGAAGAAAAATTCTCCAGATTCTCCTTTGGAGTAACAGGAGCAAGTCAAGGCTCTTGAACTTGAAACTTGTCAAGATTTTCCTTTATGATTTCAATTTTTTTGAGGAAGAAGGTGCCAAATTCGGAGAGTGCATCAATGTTGTCCCAGTGTACGCTTGCACAAAGCATAGAAGAGGCAATATCAGTTGACAATTCGGCAATATCAATATTTTTGAGTTTACGAAAAGTCAGTTCCCCTTGCATGATAAAGCTGGTCGAGGGAAGCCATTAGGACACTGAATAATAAAATGATCGGAGATGGGAAAAGTAGCTTTAGGAGAAGCAAGAACAACATCATCCGACGAGCGAGTAATAATTAGATCCAAGGTATGACCCGATAAATGGGTCGGGCCGGAGACGTGTTGTGAAAGACTAAACGTTTCCAGTAAATCCATAAATTTCATGGTGTCATTGTTACGAAGGTCATCTAAATGAAAGTTGAAGTGTCCTAAGATAACAAGAACCTCGGGGCACATAACAACATTCTCTAAAAACTGAGAGAATTCATCCAAGAAAACAGAGGCAGAAACAGGATGTAACGAAGAATATGGAGGTCGATACACTATTATGTGTCTCATTGAGCGATCGTGCACTTTAACAATCCACTCGGAATATTCGAAGGACTTGTTTTCCTTCCCATCCACTAATGAAACGTTGACAGAGTCTCGAAACAGAATCCCAGTTCCACCACCATGGTTTTGCGATTGTCGAGAAAAATTCTTGAAGAAATAACCGGCCACAGATAACTCAGAAATACTGACGGAATCAGCGTCATTTAACCAGGTCTCGGTAACGGTGCAGAGGCCAATGTCATTTTCTACAACGTGGTCAATAATGCTCTCGATTTTATTTCTAACAGATCTAGAACTGAAGACCGCAAAGTTTAGGAAAGTTGAACGTGGACTGGCGAACAAATTTGTATGAAGTGAAGAGTTAGTCGAAGTAACGTTAGAAGGTAAGTTATTGTTTACATTCACAGGTGTAACGACGCAGAGGTTGCAGATTGCATGGCTTTTAGCGATAAAGAAGTCGTTCGCTTCGATTGGTAGTCGCGTAGTTGGTTTGTTTTGCACGCACCACGGGGGCGTATAAAAGAAAACCAACAGAGGGGGATGGCAAACACCACGCCCTTCCCCAAACTCCTTGTGCGACTGAGACGTTAAGTTAGGAGAATGTTAAACAGCAATGAAATGTAAAATACGAGCATCATATATTTTATTGCATTACTATTGCCTTTTAAAAAAGACAGAAGATGTTTAAGATAATTTTCAAAGCAATAATTTCGGATTGTTCTGTTTTATATACTTACTATGCCCAAACTATCTCATTAGTATCAATTATATATGCACGCCCCCTAAGGTTAATTGAAAATTGATCGACCCACCCCAAGCAAAGGATGCAAAAACGGATGACCCACCACTTCTCTGTCCCCGGAACACCCGCCTATACTTATGGCCAGTCCCTTAAATATATTGGCATTTTGACTTATTAAATTTTGGAAATATGTACCTTCACATTTGCTTTTTCCGTCGCCCGTGTAGCCTGGTAAACATTTGCAAGAGTAGGAGCCAGGAACATTAACACACTGACCCTGAGCATGGCAAGAGTATGATCCTGTTTGACACTCGTTCACATCTGTATAAGAAAAGAGTTTGAGGAAAGATCCTTCTCAAGACGTTTTATAATCCAAGTCCACGCTGCCAAGGACTTGGCTGTGCATAATAGGCCCTATTTTACTTGTACAGTATTTTCACAGGGGTAGTTTTACTCAGAAGCAGTTTATAAGCTAAAATAGTCACAAATACTAGTGGAAATGTGTTGATGAAATTAAGAAGGAAATTTAAGAAATTTGTAAGCGAGGTCTGGAGCACGTCACCAGATTAGCCGCCATCTTAAATGATCACACGTCGCTAGGAGCTGCCCCATATCTGATGGTACAGCTGCAGTAAACTAACTTTCCTTCAAATTAGCTTAATAAGGACTTTCTCCTACCTTGGCAAGTTTTCCCATCGCCTGTGTGTCCTACCTTACAGGTGCAGTAATACGATCCACGAGTATTGGAGCAGGTAGCGTTGATGTCACATACAGGAGAAGAAGCATTGCATTCGTCAATGTCTAAGAAAAACAACTTTAATTAAAAAACCTCTTTCTTAATGGGAATAGCCAGTCTTAGCACTACCTAATTCTCCCTAAACTCACTTCTTTCAAAACTTGTCCGTATTACTTATTTAAATACTAAATCTTTTGTTTAATTGTTATCAATTGTTAGTAATTGTTTCTTACATCTCTTTTATTATGACGTTCTTGTTTATTCATTTATTTAATTTTGCTCTTTCTGGTTCATCGCCTGAATTTATTTTAAACATAATTGATATCACTTGGCCATAATACTCAAGCTTTCATATTAATTCTATAGTAACATTTTCCTGTAACCTGTAAAGTCTGTTAGTAACGAGAAATAAATTTAACTAAACTGAAAGAAACTGTTCAAATTAGCTTAATTATCTTATTTACCTTGGCAAGTTTTTCCATCGCCTGTAAATCCAGCCTTGCAAGTGCAGTAATAAGATCCACGAGTATTGAAGCAGTTTGCGTTAATATCACATACAGGAGAAGAAGCACTGCATTCGTCAATGTCTGGAGAAACATACATTAATGAACGGCATGAACCCCTAACAGGTGACACAAAGAGTACTCATTCCTATCTAACATGCGTTTTTGCTTAAGATTCCTATTTCAAGTTTTTCTTGTGTGCCTGATTGGTTTACATCTCCCGGTTAAACTTAGTCAGCGATGCAGCGTGATGAAATATCGAAAAAATTAACAAGCTTAATCAGTCGCCGATTATATATAACTGACATAACTGCATGACCAAACTCACCGTTGGTCTTCATATCGCAATAAGCCAGAACAGATGTACCAGATTTTACAGTGGAAAACCAGTATTTCCCGCTAACAGCCCGTCCTTCACTCCTCTTTATTTCCTCACAAGTCTCAGCTGGCAATTCTTGAATCGAACCAAGGGGAACTGAAAGGTCAGAAACAGTTCTTCATCATTAATTTATCAGTATGCAAGCTTAAACTGTACGCCCGGGAGAGAGCAGCACTAATGGCAAGAAGAAAAAGGAAAGGGAAAAAGGCCAGTAAAAAAAAAAACAACGAAAATAGACCACTATAAAATCTACAATATATAGTAAACAAACAAAACAAAACTATAATAACAAGACAAGAAAAAAAAAAAAAAAAAAAAAAAGGAAGAAAGAAAGAAAAGAAAAGAAAAGGAAAAGTAAGAAGCCTGTAATTAAACTCTCCTACCCTGAGATCAATTGCGCATAAAAGTCTAGTTTGTCCAATTGGAATACTCTTTAGTAGTATGGGGCCCTTATATATACAAAGCTAAACATTGAAAACTGAAAATAGAAATGGTGCAAAGACGATCTGCTCGCTTCGTGACAAACTGTTATGATCGCACAGCAAGTGTCACTGATATGCTCAATAATCTAGGGTGGGATTACTTGAAATTTAAAGGAGGAAAATAGATTGGTTATGATGTACATACTTAATAATGGTCTTGCTGAAATAGATAAGTACCAGTATCTCGTTCCAGAATCTCAAGTGCGCACAAGTCGTCATTTACATAATTTGGCATATAAAGTTGTTTAATTCGTCCTCTACAAACTACCACAAATTCTCATTCTTTCCAAGAACTATAAAAGAATCATAACAGCCTGCCGCAAGACATGGTTGAGTCGCCATCACTGGCCTCTTTCAAGGCCCGGTTGGCTAAACATTTTTGAAACCGACAAACATTTTTTTTAATGGAATTTTTATTTTATTTTATTTTTTTTATGGAAACCCGGAATCATCTTTATAGATGGAGCCAAGTAATTGAAGAAGAGGAAGAAGCTCTTCCAAGAATCGAACACAGCAAATCCTATTTTTGGCATTACTCTACTAGAAGATGCAATAATATGTTAATAATGCTAAATTAGGTAAATAAATATAAAAATAAACTAAAAACAGAAATAAAACCTATTTTTAGAGAAAATACAAATTTTGAAAAACACGGCTGTCAAAACTCGCTTCCCATGATAACGTCAATTTTGAAGTACACGTCACGATAGCTAAAACCTTTTCCGGTGCGTGGAACTTTAATCTGTTCACAGACCCTCTATTTTCTCTTCAAAATTCGTCGAGGGCAGGGGATTTATTAACCGCCAGCGCAAAGGGGTAGTGGTGGGGGAAGAAGAAAATAGACGGTCTGTAGACATTTTTAGAAGCAACTGAACTTGCTTTTCCCGGGAAAAGCAAATTGCCATTGGCTGAACGGCGATTATCCTGTCATCATCATGTCAACGACTCGTCACGCTCGCTTCATGCTAGTAGAAGCGTTTGTCATTGCCCGGACGCGCTAACCGCGACACTTACTAATTTTATTTTGCATTAAAAAATAGCATCGATTGAAAGCGCCGCCGACTTGTGAATTTGGGATGGAGTCATACTACAAGCTTGTGTTGACCATGTTGACCATAATTATCTTTTGTATCGGATTGTAGACTATGGAACAGATGGAAAACGTGCTACGACTGTACGTGCTTAAAGAAGAGCAGTGCCATGCTGTTTTGGGTTTACTGGAACAAAAGGATTTTGTGGCGGTTCTTCCCACGGGTTTTGGGAAAACCTTAATAATTTTTTTGTTCGCGGCAGTGAACTCAAACGAAGAGAAAAGTACGTGGAATTGCAGTGCATCAGCATTACGAAGTATCATCAATGATCAAGTTGAAGCAAGGAGAGAAGCTGGCATTTCAGCCATTGCATCACCTTGCTTCGGAACCATGAGGTTATGCGGACATTCTGTTTTTTTAAAAACCGAAAGCTATAATCATCGTGTTCGCTTTCTAAAAAGCTGGCTTTACTCTCTTTCAAAAAAAGGAGGGTCGGTAGCTTTACGGGAACGGGATGATTGCCCAGTGCTATAGCACCCACATATAATACTTGTTGTTTGATTGTAAAATACCTAAGACAATTACACAAGGCATTTATATCTCCAATTCCATTGGTCCAATTTAATTGGTACTGCAAACGCTGAGGTGATAATGATGAGGCGTTGACGTGGGGGAGGGACTTAATAAACCTCTTTTTTTCCAAACTTGTCTACAGACGTTCTTTATTTTTCTTTCTGGCTCGAACGCTTTGCTCGCGGCCGATGTTTTCGGAAAGACAGAAAAGACAAATAAAACAACGTCTGCGTACAGGCTATTGGAACTTCCACCTTTGTTGTTAATTGACATCTGAGCATCGGTCTTCAATTTACTCCAAAATACAGATTTGAGCCTAAATGTTCAAGAGGAAAGTTCAGGCGAAATTTAACTTCGTCCCCTTCCAGTCGGACCCTCCCCGTATGGGCCATTATAGGGAGTCCCACCCCCCCGTCCTTGGTATGCTGGCTCACCTCGCTTTAAATCTCGTGGATAGTAAGATCTCTCTGGGTTTGGAATGAAGTCCTCGGGCCTCGCTTCCTTTGTCCTGTTGTTAAACTCGCAAGTGAGAGGAGAAATCACCCAGTTAAAACTTTGGCATCGATTGTCGTCGCGACACTTGAATACGCATGTAAACGGAAGTTCCGCTAGGAGAGTGTCGTATACGTGTCCCCGTAACATCCAGCCAATGATGGAGCTCTCGGATCTTCCACTTGCAGGACATTTTTGAGTTAATGCGCTGTAGACCAGGAGAGCTACAACTGAGATATGGAAAACTATTCTTGCCGTCATTTCAGGAACTCCCCGCTAAAGTATAGAAAGGTATTTTGTTAAAACGCGCACTCATTTCTTTTGGTGTCCTGTCACTTGTAGCCTTTTCCTATGTTTTGAGTACGTTACAAGAATGTTATGAGAGTTTCATGATCATAAACAAGCTGTATACACCGAATGCAAATATGGCGGACCTCTCGGCCGGCCCGGGTCTAGTTGCGCGAAAGCGAGGCTAGTTAGGCCTCGAGAGTTTTGTTTTGACTGCGCGTCTTAGCGATTGAGCCGATCGATATGGTTTGCATCGAGTTGTTGCATGCCTGAGGGCCACCAAAAAGAAGATTTTACTCTAGCTGGAATAGCCTTTACTTTCCCAAGATCTTTTCACAAAGAAACTTAAGAATTCATGTGATTCGGCGCGGCGATGGGGAGCACTTTACAGCGAAACTGTGCTCGGTCACTTGCTTTAGATGAGAAGACTCACGAAAGTATTTGAATCAAATAATTTTCACAAGAGATGGTGCTGTTCCAAGATGTTTGCATGGTCTGTTATTTATCCAACAAAAGGTAAACATTCTCGAGAACGGGAGCATCCGCGGTGGACCGTAAAATCTTTTAGATTTCACGCTGAAAACAGCTGCATTAAAATATAACAACAACAATAACAATCGCCTGTCAATCCTACAAGCGTGGCCTGCGAAACTATGTAAGAACCAGAAGAAAGCGATATATTTCAAGAACAGTCCTTGACCAAAATGCACTGAAAAAACTAACGGAGGAACCGTTGCCAACTAAGAAAGTAAGAAGAAGAAAAAAGGTTCTGGAAGAAAAAGAGCGTGCAAGTATTCAAGCATTGTATTTGACCTTGCGCGTGATCTATTTTAGCAACTTGTCGAATGGTTTCGAGATAAACTAACAGCGATTTTCCAAAAATTGCTTCTTTTATGGCACTGCTCAAACTCTTGAACATAGGATCGTGAAGACTGTGAAAAAACATTCGCCCTTGTTGTTTGTCGTTGTGTCGCTGAGAGCGCCTAAAGATTGGTAAGTCGCGACGGCGGATTCACTCGTTGTCGAGGATATTTACCTTTCCTTGGTAAGAGAACGGACAAAGCAAACTTGAAACAGAACCATTAATCTTTCAGTTATTCACCCATTCTAATAGTTTCGTGAGTCTTCTCTTCTGAAGTGAAGCGAGCACACTTCCGTTCTTTTAAAAAATAACTCCGTGATAGTAGAGTGCCTCTATTCGCCGCGCCGAATCGCTTGAATCCATTTCTTTCTTCGTAAAGAACTTTGGCGAAGCGAAGATAATCAACTGTCGTCTCTGCTGGAGTTAAATCTCCTATTTGATGGCTCTTAAGCACGTAACAACTCGAAGGAAACCATATTCATCGACTGAATCGCTAAGACGCGCAGTCAAAACATAACTATCGAGGCCTCACTAGCCTCGCTTTCGCGCAACTAGCCCCGGGCCGACCGAGAGATCCGCCATATTTGCATTCGGTGTATACAGCTGTATAAACAGTGTGTATAAAATTGGAAATTTTCATTGATTATAAGTTAAATATTGTAAACAAATTATTGACTCATAACAGCCGAAATGAACCCCCTATTGTAAATCATAAAAAAGGAAATTACCCGAACGGAGAATATAAAAAAGAGAAAACCGAAACCGGAAAACCTCACTCACGAACAAAGGGGGGAATTTCATATATCCCATGATGCATCGCTTCATACTATATTATCAAGCTTCCGAACGCACGTGATGCTATCGGTTCAACAAGAACGTGACTGTTGAACAGCAGTGGAAAGCGACTTGTTCTGCCGATAAAACTTTCTGTACCTTTGCTGTGTCGATCTATTTACGATTTTCGTTTTACTATTCCAAATATATCTCTTGTTAAGTCAAAGAGAGTGTTTTGCCCGCCGATTACGAGTTAACTAGACTTACGATAGCAACGCAGTCCACACAAACGATCGTAGAAGCTAGCGAGGAAGGTCTTTGCTTCAGGACGTCCTGTTTTAACGTGCGTTGACAAAGCTCTCCATGAATTAACAGACGATTTCCACGACTTGTCTTGAAATAAATACATATTCTAGGTGTGAGATTTCTCTTCGTTGCTTGTTTGTGATCGGGGTGTTCATATTGTCAGTTCAATAATTCATCGGTGCCGTACATCAACCGTACAGTGACTGCACACGCTTTTACTTCAATAAGCTCGACTTATGTAGTCGAAAATACCGAGACCGTTAAAGAGCAAAGTGACGTCTATCGGAGATAAAATTCAAAGGAGGGAAATAGCTCCATCAAACAATAAAAATAACAAAGACATCTCCATATTTTTCGTAACACAACACGAGCTAAGCATCATTGTCAAACATAAACAGAAAAAAGCTTTATTAAGAAATGGCACAATACATATACAAAAACACCCACTTCCTCACTACAATGGATCCTAAAAGAATTATCAAAATGTCTTAAAAGGTTTTATACGCCGGTTGAGGTCCTACGGCGTGCTATTCCATGACATTTGCCGCCCTGTATATTTCAAGTTCCCCACGCGCGGTTGCGACCGGAAGCCACCATGAGAAACCAATTTACCTAAAATAATGAGACAAAAAAAGCTTCAATAACTATAAACCATTGAATTTAAACATTCATCATACCCTCAAGAGATAATATTTGTGTTTTGATCAACGAAAAAAGGGCGAATTCAAGAGAAAATGTCCCATCGTCGCGGGACTTAGCATAAAGAAATTGAAACCTTCGTCTTGCATCTTAGTGGAGAAAGGGTAGGAAATGCGATATTTCAAAACGATCAAACCCATAAAAATCGCGAGGTCGAAAGAGGTCGGAGCGTGGAACTAGTATCAAGCACCCCTTGTCCGCCGATTTAAATAATTTATTAGGGCAAAACCTTGGTAGAATAAAGACAGTTTTCGATAACTGAAAGTCATCTAAATAAATATTCACTTGCGAGTCAAAACAGTATGGCTTAACGGGGTCGTAAACAAGAGCAATAATGCGTGAAATGACCATGGGACCATTTTACATTATTAATAAGATACCAAAGATTAACAGGGCTCATTAAAACTTACCTTGGATGAGCTGCATCTTGAAATTCAGGTCGTTGAAAATCTCCCTCGAAATCCTCGAACGCTCTTTCCATCGCGGAAAGAAGACACAAATTTGCCGCGAAGCATCATGGGATATATGAAATTCCCCCCTTTCTCACGAACCTTAGTAAATTGTTTGCTTTTAAAGTCGCTGAAAAAGTGTCTTACCTAATACCCTAGCTACTAACTCCCCTTGGTTGTCCGGAATCCACAACACGGAAACCAGAACCCACTGTCTTGGATTCCCTTACATGGCGCGAACAAAAACAGATGACGGGGCGAATATAGTTATTTTGTTTTTCGATGTTCTGAATAGAAAACTAGGCTTCTCCTCTAGTATCTGCTTTTCTTAAGGTTTTTGAATCACTGAGGAAATATAAGGATTAAGTTATGGCACAAATAAG